TAGAGCTGGTGATTTGCTTCGAAGGCTTCGATATCCGAAGCTTCGAAGATTCGAAGCTTCGGCACTAAAATCTTCGAAGATCGAAGCTTCAATCTTGGAAACTTCGAACCTTCGAAACTTCGATACTTCAATCTCCGAAGCTTCAAAGAATCAAAATTATACAATTATTAATTTAATATAATAGTAATAGTACCGCGATTATTATCGAGGTACACATTTATAAAATTATATGATAAAATCCGAATAAAATTTCTAATGTTGCAATAATTAATGTTGAATAATTACATATTTTTTGAGCATATGTATTAATTAATTCCTTTTATTTACAATATTTCTAGCGTTCCCTGAATGAATTCGCCATTTGTACGAATATATTCTTCGAAGCTTCGAAGTTAACTTCGAATCTTTGAAGTTGTCAAAAGTAACAGCCCTAGTATGTATCGCGAATTGGGAATGCAAGTTATAAAAGGGGGATCGCTATAAATTTGCATACGCGACCGATATTTTTTACTTTTAATAGCCGTTCAACCTCTTTTAAGGTATAGCTCTATAAAAGCTCATCTTGACACCGTGCGATGATGCTCGAATAAGTATCTATGTACTATAAGTATCTATGTATGATATATAACTCAGGCCAAGGACGAACCCATCGAGCTCGTTTCTTTCCTCTACCATTCAACTTCGTCACTCTCTATCTTGTTAATCATCGTGCTCAATTCATTTTCCGGAATAGAGAAAGAAAAAAAATCAACATGGTCGAAAATAGCGAATGCGTTTACGAATGCGTCTTACGCGTTATCAGAATCTTTTTCTGATTTGTATCTCTCGAGCCTTCTAGGCAGACGGTGCGAAAATTGCACTTTGGTACAGTGATTGCTCATTCACAGCAAAGAATTCTCGCGATGAAACAGCGATCATCTATACGATAGATTGTTTTATAATAAAACGCTCCCGCATACATGTTAGGTTAAAAAAAATTCTGAATCAGATCCGAAATATTTTTAAAAATATATTAAATTTATTGCTATTTTAAGTATATTACAAATATATTATGATATAAATATACAAATATATAAATATTGCCTTAATTTTTAGTAAAAAAGAAATTTCATGAATCTCTACAGTAAATATTGTAACTATCATACTTATTTGTATATTTTATTATATAAATATTGTATAGAGATTCCATAAATCTATTCACTCTTCGATAAGTAAAAGTAAAAAATTAAATTTGCTCTGATTATACTCGTATATTTGTAAATTGTCGAACAACATTTGCAAATATCATTCGTGTCTTTGCATAGAGGGTATCTCGGAGAGCAGAGATATTCATATAGACCGTTTCGTGGCTTTAAAGTTCGTCAAACATCTCGTCGTCTCACAGTCGACCTTGGCGCATGTTTTCAAGGTGATCAAATAGACCGAGCTATCCCTCTACTTTATTTTTAAATAAAAAGTCTCAAACCCTCTTCGCGCTTTTGCACAATGAGAAGAGGAAAAAATATTCAAGGGAAAATTTATCTTGGACAATGATACTTAATCATTCGCCTTTGCGACTCGTCTCTTCTCTGTAAAACCGATCCCTAAGTCCATATACAGATAATATCATTCTGATAACATCATTCTAATAATACCATTATTAATACCTTGCCGCATTGTACATAGAGGGAGAGCAAAATGACTCTTTCATCCGAAAAAAAACGCAAAAAATTTGTCATCAGACAATACATTAAAAAAAAAAGATATTCAATCTCTCGCAGTAAAATTATACAATAACAAAAAAATGTATTATTAATAATAATAAATATAATAAAAATTATATAACAGAATTCGCGAGGGTTGGCTGGAAAAGTCCAGTGAGTGGAAAAAAACATGATAAATTCCGGCTTATACCGTCCCGGACTTTATTTAATGAAATACACTGGCAAAAAATAAATATAATATGTAATACTAAAATATACTTATATAACTTTATGCAAAAAGATATTTTTGTTTTTATTAATAAATGATACTAATCACAATAGTTTACAAAAATTAAATCTATATAATAAAGCCTTTTTTAATTCAAAAATTAATATGTGAAATTTTTAAAATAAAAACTTTGATATAAATTTTACTGTAACGGTAACAAAATTAAAAATTTTTACCAACATCAATATAAATCGCGTTTATCTTTTAACATCTTCTAATAAAAAACTAATTTATTTGTCGATGCCTAATATCTATTACGGATTTTATATATATATTGCATAAAGCCTAAATATTAAAAAACACTCTTAATTGACAAATAATGATAAAAAGGTTTTTTATTTATTTTGACGTTTTTAAATTTTCAGAAAATACCAGTTTTTTGTCTGTTTTTTTTCGGAAAATATCAGTTTTTACGACTGGCATAGATTTTATTCAATAAATATGGAACTTTGCCAACCCTGAAAGAAATATTTCAACATGATCATAATATATTTGAGAAATATATTTTTCAAAAGAATGCCCGTTAAAGAATCAATGATTCCCGCGTTGTAGGTGGGACGAACCTGAGAAATATTTAAAATAAATGAACGCTATGCGCGCGATTTATTCTCCAACGAGTGGATACGTATTTATATAACGAGATACGTGAAAGGGCGAAATGTTAAAGGGGATATGTTCTATATTCTGTGACGTATACCGAGCCTTTATCCACACATGTAGTCTTTAATGCAGCAGTACGTAATAGTTGTCCCTTTCAATTATTTACAAGGCGTGATGTATTACAATGGGGCGGTTCTTGGCCGGAAAAAAAAAAAAAGAGAAAATACTTTTCTTGAAGAGAGAAGAAATCCTGCGTGTGTGCAAAAGATACGTATAATTTCCAAGTATCATATGTATCTTTACCAGAGCGGCCGACAGGACCCACAAAAAGGTTCGCCCAGATAAAGGGTATATGAATGATATAAAGGCAATTTCTCCGGAAAAATGGGCAAAAAAAGAGATACGCCGCGTGTGTGGCCATAATATCATGTGTAAGCGCAGATAACGGCTCACGGCAGAAATCGAATTTTCTGCGGAGCCCACAGGATTTATCAGTGCGCGTAATCAAACGCGACTGAGGCAAATTAACCAATAATTGCGCGAGCGCAATATAAACCTGTAATTAATGGATTAATTTAAAGGATTTTTAATTCGTCTCGCGCAGAATTGCGAATACGAGATGTGTATAAAAGTATTAACGTGACTTGGGAATATTTTATCGAAAACATGATTACAAGATCATATTATAATCATCAAAATCAAATCCCGTTTCATTTTTATAAATTAAAATAATTGACATTTTAATATATAATTAAAATTTATTTCTCTTATATCGCGGATACGGATAATATTAAAAAAATAGAAATAATTATAAATAAAAATAAAAAAAGAACTAAATGTGCCATATATTAATTATTATTCTTTGATTTGAGTTTACGCGAAGTGACACAAGTACTTATAAAAAATTTTTCTCAAGCATCACTGCTTCTACATTTTTAGTTCCGCTCTCATAAATTCCCAGGCACTTTGCACTTTGCCAAAAAGCTTGCTTGAACCAGTACTTTTCTCGACTTGGACAAATTTAAATATATTTTATTTCGCTCTTATTTCCCCGAGCTTACATTACGCGCGATCATTCATTGCCATGCATAACGTATGCTACCTCATTTTCTCTCACGTCACTAAACTCCCGTTGTAAACAATCCTAGGAAAAATCTCGAAAGAAGTACATTCGCATCGTGCGAAAAATAACACGATGCAAGGAAGAACGATAAAATCCGTGGCATAATAATGTATTTTCATTGGAGAAAGAAATAATTTGTTTAATATTGAGGGTATATATGGTATACGAGCGAGAAAGCGAGCTTTAGAAGCGCAAGACTTCATAATAAAGCGCGACTTACATCAAAGGAAATCATTATTTGTCGACTCGAGAGAGTATCCAGGCTGGTTGGTTTGAATAACGATAAAATACCTACGATATTACGAGAAGAGAGAGAGAGCACGTTTCCCACATTATACAATTTAAAAATACTCAAACGAATTAACGCACCGCGTAAAAATAATGAGAACAAACGCATCTTCAAGCATCGTTTGAAATTATATTCGCGCTAAAAATTTAAATACAAAAACTCTTTTAAAGATCTCACTTTTTTTTAGAAATAAAATTACAAATCTATTCGAAAGCATTGAGTACGTATATATTGGCGAAACTATTAACAATGATTAATAACGCATGCAATTATAAATCGATAATATCTCGCTGCTTAATCGCATTACTCCGATAAATGTATGCTAAATCTCGTGCTTGTAAAGCGTGAAATGCTGCCGTTAGCTATTTTACCAATGAATATGTATGTTGCTTCGGAGGGCCGTTCCAGGAAATCAAATTTCCATTGTAGAGTGGACACGAACGATCAGACATGAGCGGACACCGAAATGCACGAGGCGCATATTCTACCTATGTATAACGCAATTAACATCTCTCGTTCTCTCTCTCTCTCTCTCTCTCTCTCTCTCTCTCTCTCTCTTTCCAGTACTTGCAATTTTTTAAATTGATTTTAGCATCAGAGTGACGGAAAATGCTATGAATTTCATTATCAATCTTCTATTTGCACCGTAAAGAAAACAATTATGGATGTCAACGCTGATATCATCTTTACACGAATGTGCTCCTCACAGCATCTCTTATATTGGATGATTGCATAAGTTCGTGCCCGATTTTCATAGATGGCATTAAGTTACTACTGGCGGAGTTCTATTGTTTTCGTGTGGTAATTGTTGCTTACACCGAATAGATGACGTTGTCTTATGTCAATTTAGCGTCAGACATTATTCCAATCACCTGATATAAGTAATATTTAATAATACCATAATTTCCGGAGGCGCGAAGCAAAAGAACCAAGTAATTTTTCTCTGACGCGGCGAGAATGCCCGAAAAATTGCGCCGAACAATCTCTATTCATCTATAATAATATGACAAAACTTACCGGCACCAAAAGCCTGTTGTCCATTTTTGTCGTCGGTCGGAGTGCCCTCTAAACTTGCGGGACCGCTGTCCGCTCCACCGGTTGCGCTGTGAAAATATTTTCTCCGTGAATTCAGTTGTTTTTATCCAATAATAGTGTTGAGTCGTCGCATGTGAAATATCGGATTTTGAAAGCTTCAGTTTTATAAAAACATCTTTCGATAATCATATACACAAATATTGTAAAAGTATTGCGTTAAAGTGACATGATTCTTTTACAAAAATACGCTTAGATTTTTGTGTTTGTAATATTTCTCGAATTATAATAAATTTTTTGAAAATTTTGTATCGAGTATAACATTACCATATGTAATGTGACTTCAAAGACGTAAATGCGATTGTAAATTCATATGTCAGAATTACCTATGTATCGTTATTTTTTTTTCTAAACGGGATGATCAAACCAGTTTTTTTATTTATTACTGAACAAAAAGAAATTTGACATCGATCAAATTTTGATTGATCACATTTTGATCGATGCTATTTGCTAAGTTCTCTTTTCGAATTGTAATTAGAATTTAAATAAAGTTAATGTTTCTGACAATTTTAATCGTTCGTACTCTCTTTCTGATAAAATAAGTTTAAAAAAAAAAACGATCAAAAATCATAATTTATTTTTAAACAGATAAAAAGAATTAAAAAATAATAATAACATAATTAAAAAATAATAATTAAAAAATAATAAATAAAAATAAAGTTTAAAAAACATGATTTTATAAAGAAGAGAGTTCAAAAATAATAAATAAAAAATAATAATAATCAAACCAGTGATATCCAAGAAAAAGATACATAAAGTTTAAAAAACATGATTTTATAAAGAAGAGAGTTCATAATTTATTTTAAAAAAATAATAATAATCAAACCAGTGATTTCCAAGAAAAAGGATATATAAAATTTAAAAAAATATGGTTTTATAAAGGAGAGTGTGTCAAAGGTTTTGACGCTATTTTTATATGTTAAATATTTTTTTAGAAACAGACATATATCCAAAAGTCATTCTATATAGCTCAAAATAGGTTTAGAAAATTATCTACTTTGTTTAAATAAAAAAATAACGATATTTTAATCATTTTGAAGCGCACGCGCCCCCTTTGAAATCATCGTGAGAAGAAACTGAATATCGATATAAAAAAATTTTGTTTGATATCCGGGATATAAAGGTAAAAACATTTTCTGATATTTTTATACTTTAAATCTCTCACTTTTGATCGAACCAAGATTGCGAAAATATCTTCCTAGTATTGTAAAAGATGAAAAATATTATTAGAGTTTTTCAATCACATATCTTATTTTCTCAGAGATTAATTAAAAAATAGTGACGAAAAAGCGACATTATATGCATGCAACAATAAAATGTGAAATACACAACTACCTGCTTGCGTCATCATCCTTGACTTGTTCACCGACGGGAGCCTGACTCTCTTGAGGCTCCTGGCTCTCTTCTGTCTCAGCTGACGGCGGGGCCTCGCCTTCGCCGGTTCCGGCGCCGCGGCTTAATCCAGGTATACCGCCGCTCAACCAACCGGACATTTGATTCTTTACCCCGGCTAACATTTCCAATTTATTACCCTTCGGACTGCGAGACAAGAAAAAGAATCGTTTTAAATCTGACGTTTCGTGAAATTTAAACTAAAATTCTGGATAAAGAGAATTTCGCGACTTTAATGGGAAATATTACGTGCCCTTTAAGGAGAAATATTGCCCTTTTCACCTCCACGTATTTAAGGGAAAAAATTGAGGGAATTAGAAAGAGAAAACGGAATGTCAGCGAGTTATTTGCATCAGTAAAAAATGCCAAGGTGATTAATTAAACGATGAACAACAATAATACGACTCATTGTAATAATGTAAAATATGGAATAAAACACATGCTGAATAAGCGCAAACCGATTATATTTCCGCCATTTCCCGTTCATAGATGTTATAAAATGTACGTACACAATACATAAAAATGTACGTACAATAACAGATAAAAGGAAAAAGAAATAGATGTAAACACCGTAAATACAATAAATCATCGATCGATTAATTGTAACGCCATTTCCCGTTCATAGATGTTATAAAATGTACGTACACAATACATAAAAATGTACGTACAATAACAGATAAAAGGAAAAAGAAATAGATGTAAATACCGTGAATACAATAAATCATCGATCGATTAATTCGATTAGCGCAAAGAAATCGGATTAAAACGTAATAACTGAGATAGAATTACAAACGCGACCCTTCTCCTCCCCCCGGCTTTTAATCGCTTCCCCAAATTCGGGAACGTAAAAAAGTTCGCCTCGTTTAAAAACTTTCTTACTCGGCCGAAAATTTACAATCTCGCCGGAGAGACATGAAAGCCGCGATTTATATGCTATTGCGTTATAACAAAGGAAGTAATTACATATTAGGTAAGGATTTGCAGCAAAGCGAGACAAAATTCTCAGCGGTACTAATTACGCTTATGAATCTCCGAAATATGTGTATAGAATTAACCGAGAATTCCGAAATGCATTACGAGAGACGACCTCGCAGTAATAAAATCGTACAATTCACAATTCGCACATATAATAATGTATAAATATATTTTAATATTTTATATTTATAAATATATTTTTATAATAATAATTTTATAATAATTAATGATAATATACACAATTCTATAGACACAAACGTTTTTTAAGAAATTATATAAACAGGGTGTTCTCAATTCTACTCAAATCTTGTAAAAAAAATTTCCTAATCTTCCAGTTATTTCAAAATTCCAAGTAAAAAAATATTTTAAAGATCTTTTGGTATAACTTTCTAAAATAAGCTTTTTTTTATTGTACGCGTTTTCTAATGTTTTTCATTCATACAAAGAAAAAACACAGAGTCTCTTAAGTTTGTACATATAGTGAAAAAAACTATATAGCTTTCGTAAGATAGACATTTTTCACTTGCATAACATTTTCGGTAAATGTTTACATTAACTTACACTTCACGGATCACTTTCCTTTTAACATATATTGTAGAGGGTATATTCCTAAGTAATACACGCTTTGAATTTTATGCCGCTTACAGTATCGTATTAAATTATTATTAAAAATAAAAAATGAAAATTTAAATAAAAACGTGGGCGAGGAAAAGCTCCGGGGCACTAACCTAACCCTAAATCTAATTTCACTAACCTAAACCTAATTTCAATTTAAAATCAGAAGTATTGGGAGGTTTGGGTTAGGTTAGTTCATTTCGGGGAGGGGCTCCGCCTCTTCCTCGCTTACTCCTTTGCTTTATAATAGAGTAAAGCTATAAAATACATGGTTTGGAACTTTCCGCACAAAAGAAAGTTTGAAATAAATGGATTCGATATACTTGCATATTTAAATTAGGGCTGATGATTTGCTTCGAAGGCTTCGGCATTCGAACCTTCGAAACTTCGATACTTCAATCTTCGAAGTTTCGAAAAATCAAAATTATTAATTAATAATTTAATATAATAGTAATAGTACCGCGATTATACTATCGAGGTACACATTTATAAAATTATATGATAAAATCCAAATAAAATTTCTAATACTGCAATAATTAATGTTGAATAATTACATATTTTTTGAGCATATATATTAATTAATTCCTTTTATTTACAATATTTTTAGCGTTCCCTAAATGAATTCGCACAAATATATCGCTTCGAATGTGTAATGATAAAAATTTTTTGAAAATTATTAACGATCATAATCTTAAAAACGTATGTCAAGATTAAGATCATTGAGACTAAATCTGCTTTTTTAAAAATGTTATTTTTACAATATTTCAAAATCGCATATCTCAGGAACCAAAAGAGAGGGCCACAAAATTCAAAGCCTATATTACTTAGGAATATATCCTCTCTAAAATATATGTCAAAAAGAAAGTCATTCATGAGGTGTAAGTTAATAAACATTTACCTTATAAAATTATTTTACTCACACACAGCATTCAAATTCCCTGCAGGTATAACTTTTAACAAAATTACATTAATTTTTGTATAATGTATTATGATTGACAAGAAATCCTTATTTTTTTATTTGTTGACATTTTTTTTATAGAAACAAGACGCGCAAACATATGCTTTTTTATTATTTAAACATCTCTATTTTAATCTTTTACGCTAATCGTGTTTTTCAATATGTACATACATATCTACATATATTATTTTCACTATCAATATCGAGAAGAAATGTGACTTTGAAATATAATAAAATTTTCTATTTTTTCGAGAAAAATTCTCCAACGTTTTCACTTTCTCCTCATATTTTTTTAAAATATGAGTTATTAACATTGGAGGTTTCCCACCATATATGACGTGCACACGTGTCTTTTGTAATTTAAGTAGTAATAAAATATTTATATGCCATCCCCGTGATTTCAACGACACTGCAATAACGTACATACGTACGAGCGTTTCGATCCTGTGTTTATCGCGAAATGATATGCGTGCATCGTGACAATGACAGCGCGCGCGTCAAATGTCAATACACACAAAGCGTCTTGTGCATTTGCGCAAAATCAATCCCCGCGTGTTCGACCAACGTCCACCTGGCGAATATATTGGAATTCACGAAATGGAAACCGCGATATGCGTGCCTGGATAATAATGTCGCTCGTTCGCGCATGTGACATCATCGCGACTCTATTCGCGATAAAAGTTTAATCGCAACTATATGTACGAATAATTTTTGTATTTATTATTATATTTTTTATGTACTATTAGTTATTATGTACTATTATAATTAAGGGTGTCTATTTTCTAGAAAACCTGGAATACTCAGGGATTTTTTTTGTACATGGAAAAATTATATAAAAATTATAATAAAAAATTCTCATAGAATTTTACTAATATTCCGCGAATTAAAAAAAAAAAAAATTCTCTCTTTGATGATTTTTTGCTCTTATATTGTAAGTAATCCAACGATTGGCCAAGTTGTGAGAATGATCTTCCTGTTTACGTGTATATTCGATATCTTTACAAAATATTGAATATGTAGTATATATTTTTCATTGTAACTTAAAAAATTTACCATAATTAATATAATTTCGCAAAAAGTTATACTTGCACGAAATTTAAATGCTAGGATTAAAATAATATTTTTATAAATTAAAGAGAGAGAGAGAGAGAGAGA